TTCATTTCCTTGGTAACCGACTTGCATTTCAATGTAAATCATATTGTTTGTTATTCTGAAATAGCTGATCTAAGTCAAACGTGTTTAAGTTTGTAGAAAAATGTGCTAACGTCGACATCATCAAATTAGTTTTATTAGATTCAATATAACAAATATTTCATTCTGTATGTATTTTATGTTGTAGATATTGGCAACTTTTTCTATAAAGTTGGTCAAACTTAAGGGATTGGACTTAGGACAAACCTAGAACTTCAAATATTTTCAAACCTAGGCAGTAGCTAGCTAGCCCTCATGCGAAATTGGTGATTTATTTAAATCGTTAATCCTAAAATCCCAGCCTTGCATTGCGGTGATGCAAACAGCCATCTTATTACATAGTTACTATTATCATACAAAGCATATCAGAAGAAATTACAAGTGAGAGTCACTGCTTTGAGCGGTATATCAACCACAGTAAAAATTAAATGCCAAGGCTCACGACTCTCGAACTGACATCCAAACTAGGGCAATATAGCCGGCACCGCAGCCTCCAAGTGATTGCACTCGGAGATCAAAGACACATGCTTCCACGCGGCGAAAAAATGACTTTGCGATTCAAGAGTCGTTATACATAGATTTTACCGAAAATACCATGATGTATGAATATTCCATCGGAATACATCTGGTGTATGTATGACATTGTTTATCCTAGCAATTGGTAATGCATATGGCAATACCCGATGTAATTTTGCAAGTAGCACATTTCATGTACTAATATGGTTTGGGTTTCTAGGGTCTAACAAGCAATTAACGTGCATATGGATTAAGGTATAACAATAACATGGATATCCAAGAGGTTACAATAACCATTAAGTGTAAACAGCACACAATAAAACCAAAATAACCCATGCATGGTTATTTGCATGCATTGTCATTATCCTCTATACTTAAATAGTTACAACTCATCACCGCCATCTGCCTTGCCCACTGTGATATCTACCGCTGAGGGCGGGACCATTGCCGTGGTTGTGCCTCCGGTGCTGCAGGTGATGCCCAAGGTTCAAGTGTTATGTGCGAGCTCTGATTCGCCTCTATCAGTGGAACATATGATGGTGGACACGCATGCGACCACGTGTGAGGGACATGATTCAACCTCGACATGTGAGCTTAGTGAGAACTCGCATGCGCATTCACATGTGGCTTCTGCATCCATTCCACCCCCGCCGAAGGATAATTCCGATGCTCTCTTTGCAAAAGAGCTTTGTGACTTGCTCGCTAGCGTGGAGACTGTTAGCCCTGGAACTGGAAGGGCGATTGCTTGCCTCCCGACGAGAACGACATTCAAGGGCAAATACAAGAAGGCGAGTGATTTCCCTCAGACCGGTATAGTGAAGGAGAAGTCACCAAGGTGCAAAGGTAAGAAGAGTGGTTCCATAGGTAAGGTGCCCGCAGCTGCTTACTAGATGATTCCCGGTCCCTCGGCTCATCCTCCCGGTTTGGGTCGTCATTGTGGTTTCGGCGTGGTCCACTATCTTTTGTTGGGATGTTCTTGTCGGGTTCAAAATTGTGGTGTTCAAGCGTGGGGAGTTATTGTGTGTTAGGAGGGTTTGGCGGGTTGCACGTGTGCTCGTGGGGTCATGATTGGTGAGTAATCCAATTATGGTCTGATTGTATCGGTTTTAGCCCGGTTTTCCATAGATTAACTAGGCAATTCTCTTCTTCTTAATTAATCGATGAGGCAATTCTTTTACCTCCGTTTTGAAAAAAAATTAGTTACAACACACTAACTATATTTCCTAAAAAAGCAGCCATTCCAAGTCAATATATCATGTGTGCTCGCCACATCATCAACCTTCCAAGCCATTACCAATTTTTCTACACATCCGACCCTTCCCCATTAACAAATTGTGCATGGTTGGCACGTCACCATAATTAATCCTCACAATTATTCATGGCATCAACCTAATTATCCATGTCTCGAGCCTACCTATTTTTAGCAATGTTCTCACTGCAACACAAGGGTTATCTTCACTTAACTATTTTGTACACAGAACATACCATGGTTCAAAAGATGGGCTAATTTTGAGATCATAAAGAGTAACACTTAGGAATATTTCTCACCTTAAGTATTTGATATTTCCACATACCTTACATATCAATTCTACGTTATTATCATGAGATGAAGATGTTTGGCAAATTTAGATTATGATGGTGTGCTTAGAAGAAGCAGCCTTATCGTTTCCATAGTTCACATCAAATGGCAGGAAAATAACAAGATGGATGGTGTGACAGTACGTTGATAGTTCCTTAACGTCCATCTTTAATTTTTATAAATTTATAAATATGCGGGGGTTACTAGTCACTTCGAAGTAAATTTTAGATGTATATTTTTGTACACCCTCTCATCTCACTCTGACTTCCTAAATATAAATGTTCACTTGGTGTATGTAAATATTCTTTCTTTCCTTGACTACATGGGCGAGGTGGTGGATCATATCTGAGCTCCAACAAATTATGCAGATTCTTTGCTTCATTATCAATCTACTAAGTCAGTGCATATTTTTACCGAAAAAGGCTTTCGCCCCGCTTTATAAATAAAGCAAACCGCCACAAAACATACAACCGAAGCAAGTTCACACACACACACCACCCGAGTCTCACAACATAGTAAACAGGTTCTGCTGAGGGCACAGCTCAACAAGCCCAAAAAAAAGAAAGAAAACAACACACTCCAGGCGCAAGGAGTCTAGTCTGCATATTTTTACCATACAAGCGAGCTTTCCGCACAGCAGCGAATCATGCATGGTTGCCAGTTTGCCACATCATCATAATTAATCCTTGCTATTATTCAGGGCATCAACCTAATTAGAGCATCTCTAGCAGACCCCGTATAACGCGCTAACCCGCATAATTCCGGCGAGTATACGGGCTCGGCCCAATTTTCTGGCTAGAACAGAGCCCGTATACTCGTTCGACCCGTAATTTTTTTTACCGCGGCCCACAAACCTCACCGCCAAAGCTATATAACTACGGATTTGCGGGGCAGATACGAGTCAAAATCCTATCCCACCGCCGCCGCGTTTCCCTGTGATTCCCCACTCCCTCCCTCTCATTTCTCGTCGCCGGTGAGCCCACTTCCGCATCCAGCCGCCATGTGGGGCCGTATGTGGAGCTCCGGCAGGGGCGGCGACCCCGAGCACGAGCGGTGTGTCCGCGCGGACGGCGCAAGGAAGCGCGAGGCCAAAAGCGGACCAACCAAGGCCTCGAGCTAGCCACCGTCAAGGCTCCTCCGTCGCGAGACGGAGGAGTACGACCGCCGGCACGGGCGGACGCCCTCCTCGGCCGCAGGCTCGTCCTCATCCGCGGGCTCATCCTCGGCCGCGTGGCTCACCTCCGGCGCGGTGCTTCTCCCCGTGAAGAAGGAGTAGGAGGAGGGCGAGTTCATCGCCGTCAAGCGGGAGCCGGAGGAGATCCAGCACTGAGGCGTCATCGGTCCCGAAGACTACATCGGCGGCGATGTCGACGCGGTCGCGATTGCCGCACGGAGCTTGCGAGAGGAGAAGGAGCGCCGCCGCCGCGACGAGGAGATCAAAGAGCTCCTGTGAAAGCAGGTGGTCGCGGCCAACCTCGCCGCGAAGGACAAGGACGACGAGTGGCGGCGCATCCGTGAGGAGCAGAAGAAGAAGTACATCGACCTCGTTAGCTCCCACGAGGAGGACTGAACGATGACCGAGCTCCTCCACTGCGTCGGCCTCGCTGCTGCGAGCCGAGCTCGTCCATTTTGGTAGCTGCCGCGAGCCCGCAGATCCCCCACCCCTCTCTAGTAGTAGTAGTAGCAGTATCATGTAGTATGTATGATCATGTAGTATGTGATGAACTATGAATGATCAGTGTGGTTGCAATTTTTTCCGCGAAAGTTTTTTTCTTTCAAATATATAGTTTAATATACACGAGACTGCAAACGGGTTATGCGTGTAGGCATAATACAAGGTCTGCTAGAGATGCTCTTATGCATGTATGGAGCCTACCTATTTCTGGCAGTGTTCCCACTGCAACACGCGGTTTATCTTCTAGTCCACTTAAATATTTTGTACACAGAATATTTCATAGTTCCAAAATATGGGCTAATTCTGTGATAATCAAGAGCTAACATGTATAGGCATATTTTTCACCTCAAGTATTTGACATTTCCGTATGCTACACATACCAATTCTAGGTTTTTATCATGAGATAAGTTGTTTGAGAAATTTAGATTATGAAGGGGATATTTTTAATCATTATAACTTTATAAATACACAGTGGTTGCTACTTTTTTCGAAGTAAATTTTAGATGTATATTTGTTTGCACCCTCTCATCTCACTCTGACTTCCTAACTATAAATGTTTACTTGGTGTATGTAAATATTCTTTCTCTCATTAACTACGGGGGCGAGGTGGTGGATCATATCAGAGCTCCAGCAAATTAAGCAGATTCTAATCGATTGCCTTTTGTTTAAAATTCAAATTTAATAGCTTTCAATCAAATTTATTTTGTAAAACTGAAATAAATAAGGATAAAATACATACGTCTTTTTAGGTAATACAGATGCAAGCCAGCTATTCCATGAAGATGGATTGTTTTCCATTGACCGAAAATACATGGAAGGGAAGGAAAGACATACATCAGTAATGCTGAAAACATGTTCTTAAGACACACCTACTTTTCTACAGGTGAATAGGTGTAAGAAGTTGTGGAAGTGAAAAGATAAACATGGAAAAGATGAAGTAATGGAAATAGAGAAGACAAACTCACTACACCTATAGATAGCCAAACAGATGATCATGACAACTGAGAAACCTAGGTATTCAACTCGATTCTCCGTTCCAGGCCCCAAACGGACAGAAATGAAAGTAGTAGATCTAACACACACGCGATGTTGATGATACTATCTAACAAGGAACCCTAGATTGGAGCCGCAGAAGAGAGTTAGCTAACTTCGAACGTTCGCAGAACTCGAGAGGCTTGCTCATTAGCTAGGTAATTAAAGTGGAGTAACGCTCATGTTGGCAGCCGCCGCGGCCGCCGCAGCATAGAGACCATCCTTGAGAAGCATGTCTTCGGCGCCATCCTGCAAATCACAAACCGTTAATTCCTGCAATTACTACAAAACTTCGCTCCGGCTTCAGAGCTACCCACATGCTGATGAATTAAGACCTGAAAGTGCAGTGGTAGATAGGCTAAGGGTTTAGGAAACCGTAAATAAAAGCTAAAGTACCTGAACCTTGAAGGTCCTCTTGAATCCCTGATCCGGCATGAGGCCGAAGTGGATGTGCGGGAAATGGGCCCACTGGTTGCATCAACAACATGCCAAGAAATAAGCAGGTTTGGATTAGCAAAAAGAAGCTTGTCGAAACAAATCTGAACAAACCCTATCTAGCTCCCATAGTCCCATGCATGCATTGTAGTACTGGTATTTACTGTGTGGTGGCTTAAAGCACCGGTGCATGCACTGATGCTGCACAGAGTTCGCTCGGCATCTTGCTCGCAAGCGGCCGAACACAAGCTGTCCCTGTGTCCGTGCTGACACCGCGCGTAAGGCGACCGGTCAAATCAAGACGACACGCAAACAGCGCTATCTAGCTAGGAGCTACACCTCTCCTACTAGGTACTATGCACTTGCAGTAGCGTAGCGGAGGAGAGATTTTACATTCTTTGCGGCTGCGCTGAAGGCCTCGCGGTGGGTGATGTCCGGGTTGCCGGCCTTGATGCGCTGGATCTCATCCCTGTCGCAAATCGTCAGCATACAGCGTGAGAAAACGTACGCCAAGAACAGCATGCATGCATATGTACGCAGAAACATAGATCGATAGATCGTCGCAAGATCTTACTTGATGAAGCGGTTGTAGGCGGAGGGAACTCGCTGACGCTTCTCCGGAGCTGCATAGACAAATTGGCATCGTAGATTCGGATCAGCATACGCAGGAAGACATGAACGAATGGGTGTGCATGCTTTTACCTAGGTTCCGCTACTATACATAACCACGCACACAGATCGGAGACAAGCATGGGTACCCATGATTGTATGTCTTGGTGTTATCTCTCCCATATTGATCTCATGTAACACTACGATATCAATTAACATGATCTCTTTTCCCTATCTTGCTCATTTATCGCTGTAGTAGCACACAGCTAAAAAAGGTATTTAGATTTTCTTTTCGATAAAGGGAAAAAAAGTTACCTAGATGATCATGGAGTATAACGAATCCACTAAACTTCAAGGACATGACACTACTGAATACTGATCGAGGTGATAAGTATGTGCCTCATGTTGATAAGACCCTTAACCCTAAAAAAACAAAAACAAAGCTAAGCAACAAAGAATGTGCAGCAAATATCGACAGACCGAGAGGAGTACATGGGGCAGCTTCCTTCGTCCCACGAACAGTGCGAGGTGAACGACATCCAAGCTCGTGGGCTGTTTGCTTTGACTAACGTATAGCTAGCAAATGAAAGAAGACCAATATAAAGAACCTGACAAGAAGAGCTGGTCCTTACGCCTGTTCGCCGATGGGGCGCTCTTTGCCGACTGCTCGGTTTCCTGCTGCGCAGGCTTGGCGGCAGGCATCGGCATCGCCGGCAGGTTGCTGGCGCAGCTGCTGTTGCTGCGGCCCGTGAAGCCGCTCAGGTTGGTGCTCGCCTGGTCCATCAGTAGGCTCGGCGTCTGGAACGCAACCTCGTCCTACGCCAAACAAGACCTAAGTACGCAGACACCGGTCGGTATATGGGCTCATAAGTACAGATCGGAAGGACTTACCAAGAGGCCATGGGGGGAAGTAGGGGAAAGCAAGGAGTGGCCGAACTGGAGCTGGTTTGCCGGAGGCGCCGCGGGAGGGAGCAGGAGGGCGCGGAGGTTGACGGAGAGCAGGTTGGCGCAGTGGCCGCACCTCACCGTCACCGTCTTGAACAGGCTGCTGCACGGCACACCGACCTGATGCGGGCATCAAACTTGATCACTCCTTACAAACTTACCAACCAGCAAGAAAGCTAAAAACAAGGAGAAACGAGGCTAGGATGTGATGCTAATATTTCAAGCAATTAGCAAGCGCTGTCGGTAGGTGGACGGCACATACTGCAAGGATGGCGTCGCAGCAGTTGCAGTGGACGTAGCAGAGCTGCTCGGTGGGGGACGGCGCGAGGTGGTCCAGGTTGAAGACAGCCGACGAGGAGGAGGACGACGACATTATGAATGTATGTAGTAGCAGCCGCTATGCCCTGAGTCTGCTTATCGATCGGCGGCAAGTAGCACCACCGCTACGGCTAAGTATGTGTGTGGGTGGCTTCTCGCTTTGATCGTGCTCGAACGGATCGCAAGAAATTACCACTACAATGGAGAGATGAGTCGAGATTGAGGAAGCAAGGAATTGCGGGTGTGTAGAAAGGGGGATTTTATACGAGCGGGGCGGGGAGGGGAGGGGAGGTAGAGATATCCTTTTGGTCCCCTTTGATTTGATGTGATGAGGTGATTTGATGTCTGGGTAGGTGGCTGCTCTAGCTTCCCTTCGGATTTGATTTGATGGACCTGCAGGATGGATGGATGCAGCTAAGCCCAATTCGAGAAAGCCGCGGATCTGTCTGTCGTTGCTCCTGATTTGAAAGCCGAAACAAAACAAAACAAAAACACGTAGTATCTGCTAGTAGTAGTACTACTACTGCATGTGGAACTTGCCGCGAGCAACGACGGAAAGGCAGGGGGCGACGAGGCGGTATGGGCCGGTGGTGGTGGAGGATGTAGCTCTGGACAAAGCGAGAAGAAGATGGGAATGAGGTGGGAGTGAGACAGAATGCCCGGGTGGGACTGCAGGTAAGTTTATACTGGGGGTGGGGTGGGAGCGAGCAGTGGGACGGAATGGGGGGCCGAGGCCAACGAGCGCTACTAGCTCTCTTCTTGCCTTGGCGTGTGTCTCCGCCCACAGCCGGGCGGGTATCTCGAGACTATTTATGACCGAAAAGGGGAATGAGTGGTGGGGATCGCCGGGCCCCGGCCGACTGTGGCGCGATGCGGCCGGTCTGCCCGGCCCGGCCGGCCACGACGCGCCCTCTCCCTCCCTCCCTCTACTAGCGCGATCGACATCTTCGAATTCCATGGCCGCGACCACGTACGTACGCGAGAGAGATACACGGAGGGAGAGAGGAAACCCTGTAGCTGGCTACTCCTTCCCAGTAGCTCATTACTGCTCGGCTACACGTATAGTACATCGATGCTGCTGCGTCGTACGTGTAGGGGCACGGGCTAGCTTGTGGAGCTATGGCGACGTGACACGAGCCGGTTTTTGATTTTGAGCACTCATGCACGCGCCTAGGGTACGTACGTACGTCGACTTTGCAAAGTAGGTGTACTGGCATGCATCGAGCGTGCTCGCGGGACACCGTCTGACCCTTGTCTGGCTTCATTTTTCCGGGCAGGGAGAGGGAGCCGGGATTTAAATGAAGCCGGCCCGGCCGTCCGGGACAAAGATGCCTTTGCCAATACTATGCCCCCCCGTGTACTGTCGCCCGAGTTGAAGATATTGATTGATGTTCTAGCGGACACAGGCCGTACGTACGCGTACGTGCATGCATGCGTGCTTGTGAGATGTCTTTCGATGGATATTTATTTCTACTAGCAAATACGCACGTGCGTTGCAACACGAGAAAATTAGCTCTGCATTCTCCTACTAAAAAACATATAAGGGCATGTACAATGGTGCTATCTTAAGAATGACACGTAGGATAAATGATGAGGTGAAGGAGAGAGAACTCGTAAGGAAAGGCTTGTCTTCTTTTATTTAAGAGAAGACAAAAGATGATCTCTTAGTACAATATGTCTCACCACGTTTTTAGGAATAACTAGTTATTGAAGATAAGACTAAGAAATGACCCATTGTAGACATCTTTTTTTGTCATCTCTAACTTACATGCAAGACTTAAGATAAGACTATCTTATCAACCATTGTACATGCCCTAATGTACAAAACGCAAGAATAGGGAGATAAAACAACTTTCTAGATTCTCGAGCAGAAACGTTCACCGGTCCGTCCAAATTAGAATAATTATTGTGCAAAAATATCTATTGATTGAAAAAATAAAAAATAGTTTTCATAGATCATTATCAAAGTTAGACAAAATAGCAATTTTCATAGCTAAAAGATGTATTATAAAATTTGCATTTTGGAAGTTTTTGTTCCGAGCATATATAGTGAATTGAGGAAACTATCAGGGGCTCAACATGGCAATGGGTACCTGCAACCCGCGAACCCGCCGGGTAAAACCCTATTAGGGTAAGGGTTTGGAAAAAAATATACCCATCGGGTAAGCCGGGTATGGGTGCAGGAAAGCCATACCCATACCCTCGTGACCGCCTATCCGCATACTCATTTACTAATTCTTTCTAACAGGTAGGTCTCATGTGTCATTCACTCAAGGATGAAAAACTGTTTTACCCTAGGATAACATAATTGCTAGCCTCGGCGACCGAAAACCCCTCCCCTTACCCATGTGGATGATCTTGTTTAAATGTGTTGACCTTGTTTTGTGAACACACTACTTTGTCTCTGATTTTGTTGATCTTATGATATAGTCTCCTTCATTTGATCATTTCAAAGTAGGGGCTGCACAAGTGTCTTCAATAAAATAAAAATAGAGAAAATTGTGTACCTCTTGTTTGTCTTCTAATTAGAAAAAAAGAACATATGTGAATGTTTCTCTAAAAAGTTCACTTACAGGTTACTCATTAATTTATGAACGTGTTTGGACATTGTTTAGTGCCATCTGGTTCGTGCTTATTGCTACCCACTTCTGAAAATTAATACCATTCTTTTGATTCCATCACACAACAAATCATGATATATATGTGCTGAGCAGCTAAAATGTGGTATATATGTTCTGAAATGTTGAAGTATACATGCTGAAATGGTGTGTATATATATGGAATTGCTGAAAAATACATGGTGAAGTGTGAATTGGGTAAGATGGCCGAGATGGATATTTTTACCAGTGGGTATGGCCCGCACCTAGCCGGGTACGGGCATGGGAACGGTTTGAAACCCGAGGACGGGTTTGGGCCAAAAAAATGTTGATTCACGGGCCTAATATCGATAGAAATCAATGTTTTAAATAGCGGCCTATGAAAAATAACCGTGATCCTCCAAATCAGCAATAGCAGAGCTATAGCGGGCTATTTGTGAAGACGACCATTTAGCGGCACCCTGCTGAAAAGGCTATAGCGGGTTAAAACTATGATAGAAATGGGAGAACTCAAGTAGGTGAGAAGTTGGTGATCGAGAAAGATAGATCTTTGATAAAGTCTTCTTCTTCTCTAAATCTAGTTTTTCTTTTTGAGATGTTCTCCATATCTAGTTTGTGTGGTGTGTTTGCGTCATCCTTCTAATCGTAAAATTTATAATAAAAACAAGATCCATGCACGGTGAGTGCATGTGCATGCTATGCCCGGCCTGTGCGTGGTGGATGCTGATTCCTGGCTCCATCGTCCGATGATCGATCACATCTACGGATCTACAGACCGAGCATGCACGTACGCACCTGAGTCTCCACACAGTGTTCCGCGCCCCATTCGAGCCCTGCGTGTGGGACCCAGCTGTCAGCAGGCCGCACATACATGGCTCGCCCGGCCGCCGGCCGGCTTTGACTGTGCGTAGTGCATGCATCCGCGCGCGGTGTAAAGGGGGCTGACGTAAAGTGCATGCCAATCCCAGGCACATGACCTGGCTCGGCCGGCCACTACGCACGGGCACGCGACGGAAATATCTTGTGACGCATGGTCGTGTACACGACACGACACGCCATGTCCAATGCCAAGAAGAATCAGCGGCTGGAGCCGGCCGGGGCAGACCAGGGTGGCGCGAGCTACAAAAGAATCTCATGGAGGCATGCACCGCGCACGACCAGGGCTACCTAGGTGGGTCTGACCGATCGATTCATCGATCGAAGCTGGCCTGTGGATTGCCGTGCACGGCGCACGTCGTTTTCACCGTGCGCATTTCCATGGTCGACCGCGTGATCGAGCCCCCTCCACCGCTGCAGCCAAACTGCAAAAGTGGTCTTGAGTGGGAAACCTGAGGTTTTGTCACTGGGAAAACGACCTTTGCCGAGCCAGCGTCATGGTCCTTGTACATCGGTGTTCGTTTCCATGAATATCAGATGCAGGGACTAGTAGCTTTCAGGATGTTTTCTTAGAACGGAGCCGCTTCCACGGTCTTAAACTAAGGCCCTTAGGGCATTTTCAACAGTCCCTCAAATCATCTGCAAACATCCGGACCAACGTGTTTGGACATTTTTTTTATCTTTCAACACGGTGCCGCAAATATCCATGGATGCGAATATCCATGAACACCTCCGATCCACTCAAATCTCCTCTTTCTGACCACTTTTCTCCCGCTATGTCTCCCCCCTTCACTATATTCGCACCCTCCTA